GCTTTGTCTTCATCTTCCTAAACTTTCAATATTATATTGATCTTGGTCTCAGTCCTTAAATATTTTCTCTCTTCTATCTAGTTTACTTTGTACTTTGTAGAATTATCATTCACTGTAATATCCTCAATATCACCCAATTAATGATATTCAATGTTGTTTTTCTGTTGTATTGTTAGGACAGGACCCAGTACAATACTTTGAAAGCAAGGTATGTATATGAATATATATATATATATATATATATATATATATATATATATATGGTTTCTATGTCATGCATACTGCATTGGAATATAAAACTTGAGAGAATGCTTTGAACAATGGCTCATGTATGTAAAGCAAGATTCATAAAAAGCCGAGAGATTGTAATTTAAGGTCAGACAAGGCAAAATGTTTGCAAGACCCCACCTTAAAAAGCCAGTAACGGTGGTACACATCCATAATCCCAGATATGCCTGACAGCAGAATCATAGTACAGTAGAATTACAGTATAGTCTGGCCCTAAAGCAAACACAAAGACAAATAAACCTAAAACCCTTTCTGAAAAATAGTGAAAGCAAAAAAATGTGGGTCAAGTGGTAAAGTGCTTGCCTAGAATATACAAAGCTCTGAGTTCAAACCTTAGTGCTGGGGAGCAAAACAGTTGAGAGAAGAAAAAGGCTATTTTGAATACTTAATATCATAAACGAAGTTTAAGATCTTAATACTTAGCATCTTAAGTTAAGTTTATTAGCTTAGGGGCTGGGAAGGTGGCTCAGTGGTAGAGCGCTTGCCTTGCACACATGAGGCCCTGGGTTCGATTCCTCAGCACCACATAAGCAAAAAGAAAAAAAAAGCCGGAAGTGGCGCTGTGGCTCAGTGGTAGAGCTCTAGCCTTGAGCTGAAGAGCTGAGGGACAGCGCCCAGGCCCAGAGTTCAGGCCCCACGACCGGACCCAAAAAAAAAAAAAAGAAAGTTTATTAGCTTAGTCAGTTTAGATGTTAGTTGAAATAAGGCAACATCCTAGGATTTGGATAAATAGATTTTATTTTATTTTACTTTTTAAGTTTTTTAATCTGGTAGATGAACTAGAATGAATATGGTCAGTGTCGTTTATTTGTAAGTATGAAATAGACCAAAGAAACCTGTTGAAAGTGTTTTAAAAGGGAATTTGAGATAAGGGTAATGGAGGAAGTGAAGTTGATTATTATACATTGTATACATGTGTGGAAATGTCACAATAAAATCTTCATATAAAAAATACTGCTAATAAAAATCATAGGGAAGAACGCAGTATGGAGGTTCCTCAGAGGAGTCCACATAGAGCTCCCCTATGACTCAGCAATCCCACTTTTAGGCATTTACCAAAATGATCACAAACAAGGCCATATTAAAGCTACCAGCACAACTAGGCTTATTACAGCATTATTCACCATAGCTAAGCTATGGAACCAACCCAGATGCCCCTCAGTAGCTGAATGGATCATGAAAATGTGGTATATATACATACAATGGAATTCTATGTCTACATCAGAAAGAATTACACCACCCCCTTAGTTAAGAAATGGAAAGACATGGAAAAAATTATATTAAGTAAAGTAAGCCAGACACAAAGAAACATAGTGCCATGGTTTCCTTTATCTGCAATAACTAGTATATGTCTAGGACAAGCAGAAGAGGTCAAAAGCTATGTACTTAGCTGATGCTAAGTGAAATGAACCCCAAGATAGGGACACAAGAGATTTTTATCTTTCTTGCTATTCCTGTTAATATATTTATAATGTACTATGTGATTTGTTTCTTTGTATGTTCTTCTCCGATGTATATCCCCTGTTGTGACTGTATTTGATTCCACTATCCTGTATCTTATATATACATTTTTCTAATTTGGGGAGGGGAAAAGAAATAACAAAATGCTGAAATAAGGATACAGGAGGATGACCCATTGTAACAATGAGATGTATAAGACAGGACACTATGTTGAAAACAAACTTTACAACTTTGCGGGGGGAAGGGTAGATAGTAGGAAGAAGGAGTCGGGGAGGTGGGGAGGGAAGGGATGGTAGGAGAAAAAAAAGGAGGGGGTAACAATGCCCGATAGGAAATGGATTCATTACCTTACTCATATAACTATAACCCCTCTGTACAGTATCTTTACAAGAATATATATTTAAAAAAAGGAAATATGCATGACATATACAACCCATTAATGTTTTAGTCTGATTTTAAGGATCAAATGAAATAAAAATGTTATAGCTCATAAAGCCTTTAAATGTAAAATAAAATCATAGAGAGGGATTTATTGTGATCCTTCCATACATGGAAATAAAATAAAATACTTTGATGATGATGATGATGATGATGGCATATCATTAAAATGTAAAGTTTAATTGCTTTTACAAAATAGTGATTTGTGCCTCTGCTGTAGCATACCTGTGGCTGAGTTGTGTATACAAAAGAGAGATTCATTTTCCACAGTTCTGAAGCTGAGAGTTCAGTATCAAGGCATAAACACACGTTGAGACATGGGATAGAAGAGAGAGCAAGATGGGATCAGATACACCTTTACGAAGGCATTTTTATGAAAGAACTCATCCAGTCTTGAGAACAAAATCCTCATGGCTTAGTTACCTTTTATGGACCTATCTTATAGTACTGTTAAAAGGCAATTAAATTTCAACATAGACTTTGCAAGGGACCAATGTTCAAATAACAGCAAAATCTTTTTTAAATGCCCTCAAATTTACTAAAGTTATGTTTATAGTTAATCATTTATTGAATTTTTCTGACATTTGCCATCGTTTATCAAAGTTGAACTTTCTCCATTACTCAGCTCTCTGTTCACTAACCTTACCTAAAACTCCACTAGAAAGTCAGCCACAGACAGCTTATCTTGTTGTCTTGTTGTCTTATCTTGTTGTCAAGAATAATTTGAGCATACATCAGACTTGACATTGTCTACTGCCAGGAGGTAAGTTCAAAGTGAAAGGTAAGATAAGCAGATGGTCTCATCTGGTCAGTATAACTGTAAGATCTGCTCCAGCTACACTTACTACACAAGGTGCTGTGGTCCAAGTGTCACAGGTGTGCCATTAAGAATCATAATTGCAGAGCTGGGCGCTGTTGGCTCATGCCTGTAATCCTAGCTACTCAGGAGGCTGAGACCTGAGGATCTTGGTTCAAAGCCAGCCTGGGCAGGAAAGTCCGTGAAACTCTTATCTCCAATAAACCACCAGAAAACTAGAAGTGGCACTGCTCAAGTGGTAGAGTGCTAGCATTGAGCAGAAGAGCTGAGGGTCAGTGCTCAGGCCCAGCGTTCAAGGCCGACAACCGATAAAAAAAAAAAGAATCATAATTGTATACTTAAATAGTTACACACTTATATCCTTATTAACACATCACATTTGAGGCAATTTGAATACCTCACATTTATTTGAAGTATAAATAAAATATTCCCTAAATACCAAACCTGCATAAACCACTGGGAGCCACACTAGAGAAACAACTATTTCATGGATCAAGTGCCACATGCTTGGAGTTGACGGGATGTAAATAATAAATGATAGGAAAAGCAGAGCAGAAAACAGACACCAATGACTCACCTGTAATCCTAGCTATTCAGGAGGCTTATACCTGGAGGATTGTTGCTGGAATACAGTCTGGCAGAAAAGCCTGTGAGACTCCATCTCCAAAACAGCCATCAAAAAACAGAGCTGTAGGCATGGCTCAAGTGATAGAACACCAGCTGTTAGCAAGGTGAAGGCCCTAAGTACAAGCCTCTCTCAAAAAAAAAGTAGAATAAGAAAGCTATCCAAAACACCCTAATTGTAAACAAGGTCAAACCCCCTGGAGGAAGAGACAGAAATTTTGTCAGGACTGCAAAACAGCAAAATTTTGGGGATTCTAACACAATTTACTCCCAATTTGAGTATCAATGCATTCCTTAAATACAGAGAGACAGAGAGAGAGAGAGAAACAGAGACAGAGGGAGAGAGGGAGGGAGGGAGAGGAAGAGAGCGCACTGGGAAAAGCTTGGAACAGAGGTAGCAGGAAGATAGAAAAGAAATACTATAAAGTAAATAGAGGTAAAATTCTTACCAAAAAAGAGACCCTTTTACTTCTCCTTGTAGATTTCTATATCTAATACAACTGCCTTCAGAGTCATTATTGAACATCTGAATACTAAGATATAGACACTACTCAGTTTATTATCATACATCATTTTTCTCTAGCCTAGTTAGAAGTGTACTCTCATTTTAAAAATCATACTTCTGATTTTTTTAATTTAAAAGCTATGTGCAATAACTGTAATCCTAATGACCTTGGATGATCAAGGTTTGAGGCCAGCCTAGGCAAAAAAAATTCTTAAGACCCTCATCTCAACTGTCTGTGTACACTATTGCACGCCTGTTACCCTAAAAGAAAGCATAAGGAGAGTCATAGTCCAGGATTGTTTAGGCAAAAAAAAAAAAAAAAAAAAAAAAAAACCCACAAAGACTAGAGAAAAGTCTCAAGTGGTAGATAACCTGACCACCAAGTACAAGTGTGAGCTGAAATCCTTATACTACCAATTATACACACACACACACACACACACACACACACACACACACACACATACACACACACACACACACACACATCTCAGATTGACATGTATAGTTCAAAGACTGAAATATACAACTGTCTTTTCACAACTACACACCCATATATTATTTCATTGCAGTTTCCCCCATTAGCACATAAGAAACTATGACAATTAAAACAGAATCATTGACTTGATATACCACAAAAAACTTCTGTGACTTAAGTGTAATTTGAAGTAGAGTTAGTTGTTGTGTTCTTTTCTATTAAAAAGCTTCTCTTCAAAGGTACAAAGAGGAAAATGTATAAATATTTTCTTAGAATATTACTCTTTGAAGGGCTGGGAGGCTTTTGACCCACAAATTCTATACAACTTAATACTTCTGAACAGTGAAGGTGGATTCTTGGAAAAAGTCTTAGCTGAACACAACACTTACCTGTTTCTCTTCACAAAAAGAGGCTGAGGGCCCAAAGAGAATCTGACATTGCTCATCAGCAGTGTAGGTCGTCCCTAGCAGTTTGGAGGGAACCATCACGGAATTCACACTCTGAGGATTTGTCTGCAGCAAGCAGCTACTTGCCTTTGACCTGGCAGCATTTGTAAAGTTTTTAAGTCAATGTAAAATATTTCTATGATTAGTTAGCAAAAGAACTTGAAAACAAAATTGTGTCAAGCATTTGGCTTGACCTTGGGACCTGAACACTGTCCTTTATCATTTTTGCCTAATGCTGGCAGTCTACCATTTGGGCCACTGCTCCACTTCTGGATTTTGTTGGTTAATTGGCTTCAAACTTCAATCCTAAGAACTCAACCTCCTAAGTAAGCTAGGATCACAAGTATGAGCCATCTATAATTATATAATTCTTTAAAATCTTGCAAATTTTAAAGTAATTTTAATATTATGAAAAGATTTCTTGCTAGATACTAGGTGAGCAACATCTAAATTTTTATTTAGATGTTTTCTTATAAAAGTTATAAGAAGCCAGGCACTGGTGGCTCACTCCTCTAGTCATAGCTACTCAGGACACTGAGTCTGAGGATCATGGTTCAAAGCCAGTCCAGGCAGGAAAGTCTATGAGACTCTTATCTCCAACAAACCCCTAGAAAACTGGAAGTGGTATGTATTGTGGCTCAAAATGGTAGAGAATTAGCCTTGAGTGAAAATGCTCAGAGACAGTTCAAGCTCCCCCTCTCCCCCCACCAAGTAAAAGTTATAAGAATGAATGCATATAGATGAATTCTTTATAATTTTAAGATTATCTCAGTAAATAATAATAACTGTACAAATTGAAAAAAAAAGAAACTAAAAATTAGATATGTTAAGTAACACATCTCCTTCCAGGCCATGGGGCAATAGACAGTCCAAGAATGGAATCAAATGCTTTCAATTATACCCTGGTAGTGTGTTTATTTATCATGTTGCCTGTCTTGGCCAGCAGTAGATCAGGCACACAAAAACATTCACAATGAAACAGAAAGAAATGGCTTTTGTACCTGAGAAATCGTTCCAAGTCTTGCTTGCTACACCCAGACCAGGAAACATCACCAAGATTTTGCCCTTTAATCCATTCACCAGACATGATATGAAGACCTTCAGCACAGGAGGGGTGGTCATTGTCATGATTGATCCCCATACTGGTTTAGAATATAATTAATAAAATGATTAAATAAATATAATTTTAAAACTTTTCATTACTGCAATTCAATTATAGTTAAAATACTTACTTGGAAAAAAATTGTGTTTATTCAATTAGTGCTAGAGTTATAAAGTTCACACTTCTACAGAGCTATAGTAATGAAAACATCTTAGTAGTGGCAAAAAAAAAAAAAAAGAAAGGAAAGGAAAAAGAAAAAACCCAAAGAAACAATTTTTTAAAAAACAGGCTTCAAAAACAATGGAACATAATAGAAGACCCAGAAATTAACTCACAGACCTATAGCCTCTAACACTTGACAAAGAAACCAAAAACTTAAGTTGTAAAACAGTGTCTCCATCAAATGGAGATGGGAAAATTTGGAAATTCACCCACATAAAGCTGAAATGGACCCTTATTTATCACCTTGCACCAGCATCAATTCAAAATGGATCAAAGACCTGGATAAAAGACCTGAAACCATTTCAAGAACCAATGAGTGCAGCAGTATTAGGACTCCTTGGCACAGAAAAGAACTTTCTGAGTAAGATCTAAGACAGCAATTCAAAGAAAGACTTGATTAATAGAACTGCATCAAACAGTATCAAAGGATATAACTAGTAAGCTAAAAAGACAACCTACAGAATGGGAAAATGGAATATATCATCAACTCGATTAATAAAAGGAGTCTTCTCAGAAGAAGTAAAATGAGGTGATAGACACAGGAAGAAATACTCAATATCTCTGGCCACAGGAAGAAATACTCAATATCATGGCCATAAAGAACATGCAAAACAAACAAGATTGTGATTCCACCTCATTCCAGTAAGAATGACCATTATCAAGAAAACAAATGATAATAGGTGCTGGAGAGAATGTCACAAAAGAGAAAAACTAATATACTGTCGATGGAAATGCAAAGTTGTTCGATCACTCTGGAAAACAGTATGGTGGTTCCTCAAAATATTAAACATAGAACTACCTTCTAATATATCAGTTCCATTCCTATGCATTTATCCAAAAGATTACAAATCAGGATACAGTAAAGCCACCAGCACAAACATGTTGATTGTAGCACAATTCATCATATCCAGGGTATGGAATCAGCCCAGATGTGCTTCAATGGATGAATGGATCAAGAAAATGTGGTATAAATACATAATGGAATTTTACTCATTCATTAGAAAAATAATATTGTACCACTTGTAAATAAATGGGAAGAGTTGTAAAGAAAAGGAAAAAGTTATATTATATGAAGTAAGTCAGGCCTAAAGGGACAAAGGATGCATATTTTCCTTCATATGTGGATGCTGGATTTAACTTATAAACTTCTAAGTAAATACATTGGGTGGCTTGCAAGTGAATATAGATGTAATAACTGACATAATAGTAGATTCAGGGAAGAACTCAAATTTCATAAAAAGGCAAAGTCAAATTTCAACAAAATAAACGCCAGGAAGTAGGTAATTGAAAGGAGTTGGGTCGGGCCAAGGTGAATAGTCAAATGAAAAGATGAAGATGAGAATGCAGTCAAGAATTCAATGTATAGCCTACAAAATTAAGAAGAGTGAAATAGAGGGTACTAGGGGAAGTTATGCGTGAGAGTGTTGAAAGGGATGACATGATGACATTTGATTAAAACGCACTGTATTCATAAACTGCTTTGTAAAATGCCAACTCCTTTGTACAACTACTTAACTGAGATAAATACTACTTAAACTAAAATAAAGACATGAAAAAAACAGGATTTTAGATTGCTTTATTTATTGTTTTATTTTTTTATTTTATTTTGTCTACTGTGGTCTTGAACTTGGAGCCTGGTGCTGTCCCTGAGCTCTTTTGTTCAAGTCTAAAGCTCTGCCAATTTGAGCTACAGCACCATCTCCCAATTTATTTTATAACTGTATATCCTGCTATAACTTAAACATTTTTCTTACATATAGAACATTCTCTAATCAAAGTACCAACTACATGCTTAAGTTACATATCAAAAGATAGATTAGTTATATTTGTATCAATGAAACATAAAGGTCATAAAATTTTCTTTATCTAATCTATATCCTTGGGGTTTTTTTGTGAATCAATGCATTTTTCTTTCTTTTTTGGTGCCAGACCTGGGGCTTGAACTCAGGAATTGAGCACTGCCCTCAACTTTTGTGCTCCAGGCACAACAGTTATGCCTGAATGCTTTTTGGTGATTAATTAAAGATAAAAGTCTCAGGTATTTTCCTGCCCAAGCTGGCTTTGACTGGTCATTTCCTGGGTGAATCAATTTTTTTTTTTTTTAAATCAAGGTCTCAAATCACATTACACTATTAATTATTCATGTTTCACCATCTGCTGCATTCCACCATTTTCCTTCTATCTCAAGTGGCAGACAGTCATTTCTTTCTTGGCTATCTTTAATTTTTAAAAAAATTTTAAGTAGTGATACAGGTGGACCCATTGCAACAACGAGACGTACAAGTCATTATGTTGAAAACGAACTTTACAACTTTGGTGGGGAGAGGGGAGGGTTGGAGGGGTGGGGGGAGGGGATGTGAAGGGGAAACAAAGGAAGAGGCTACAATGCTTGATAAGAAATGTACTCATTATCTTGTAATTGTAACCCCTCTGTACAGTATTTTCACAATAAAATTTATTGTCAAGTTGATGTACAAAAGGGATTACAGTAACGTAAGTAAGGTAATAAATACATTTCTTGTTGAACTTGTTATCCCCTCCCTCATTTTTCTCCCACTTTCCCTCCCTCCTAATCCCTCTGGACCAGATGTAAGTGAATATTGCTGTTGCATAGATTCCCCCTTTGTCCTTTGTTTCACCATCTTGTTGTTCCCCTTCCCATTCCTAGTTCAGATAAATGTATATACGATACTCAGGGTACCAAAATCGAATAAAGTGACAACAAGGGATAAACCATAGGGGGCTAAACACAAAAGAAAAATAAAATCACTTAGTACATTAAAAACAAAAACAAAGAAAAATGTTGTGTCCATGTCTTGGAGTTCATTTCACTTAATATCATCTTATATAGTCATATGTACATAGCTGTTAAGCTATTCTGCTTATCAGCTAAGATTATTCTAGATGTATACTAACTATTACAAATAAAGGAAACCATAAAGATCCAGAAACACCACATATCAAAGAAAGGTTGGACAAATATGATCACGTTTACTGTAGAGCTTCTGCATGGCAAAGGCTAGCAAGATCAGTAGAAAGCCCTCAGATTGGGAGAAGATCTTCACTAGCCAAGCAACAGACAAAGGCATCATATCTAAAATATACATAGAACTCAAAAAATTAAATTCCCCCCAAAACAAATCCTCAAAGAAATAACTGCCTGATTAATATGTGGGCTAAAGACTTAAAGAGAGAATTCTCTGTAGAGGAAATAAGAATGGCCAATAGACAGACAGAGGAAGAAAGGCTCAACATCTCTGGCTATAAAAGAAATGCAAATCAAAACAACCATTGAGATTCCACTTCATCCGAGTTAGAATGCTAAAATCAAGAAATATAATAACAACAGATGATGGAGGGGGTTGTGCTGTTGGTGGGAGTGTAAACTTATCCAATCACTCTGGAAAGCAGTGTGGAAGTTCCTCAACAGAGGAACCTCTATGACCCAGCAATCCCACTTCTGGGCATTTACCCAAATGACCACAAATAAGGCCACACTATCGCCACCAGCACAATCATGTTTATCGTAGCATTATTTACCATAGCTAAAATATGGAATCAACCCAGATGCCCCTCAGTAGATGAATGGATCAAGAAAATGTGGCATAGGGTGTTCCGGGAAGATGGCGGAGGAGAAGCTGGAATCTGAACAAGCTCTCGCATAAAAAGCAGTTTTAGAGTTCCAGTGAACAGTCCTAAGCCAGAGAATCACACCAAGTGTGCCATCACAGGACAGAGAGTTAGACAAGAGAGGGAAAGCCAAGGCAAGAAGACACATCTGAGCGCTTGCCAGCAGCTGCGGCGGCAGCGGCAGGGTCGCAGCGGAGACCGCAGCCGCGGCCATACCTGAGCGCTCACACAGAGAGTCCAGGACGAAGGAGCCAGACGCAGCGGGTGAGCGGATTCTACTCAACACCAGCAAGAACCGACAAGGAGCAGACATCTTCATCCTGCAGTTTGCAGACCAGAGACGACCCAGGATCCAAGACTCGGCGTGAGTAGAAGCCCGACTTCCTCACTCCTTCTCAGGGAGCAGAGGAGGGAAGGCCACCCCTCCTCCCCAGCACCGGTGATCTCCATCTTGGATACTGACAAAGCTCGGAGGAGCTGCCAGCTCCAACTCAGGCCTTGGAATAAAACGAGCCATTTAGCAGGTCACAAGAACTTAACGGCGAAGTGACCTGCCAGACTCAGCTCCATCCAGGGAAAAGTCACCCAGCTCAGGCGCCAGCCATTGGAGTGGCTTTCCGCACTGGGTAACCAGAGCCAGAGGCTGCCCCTCCCCCTAGCAGCCTCAACAATCAATTGAAAAACAGAAACCCTGAGAATGGCTTCAGGCTGGGCTCTGTGAGTTTTTTCACAAAATAGCCCCAGGGAAAAGCTACTGTTTGTTGAAAGGCCTCAACTCTACCAGAACCTAGCCTCATCACCCCTCTTTTGTGATTCTCAAAGCAGATCACCCTCCCATTAAACTAATCTGGGAGGGGGATCTCAAAATCTTGGGTAAAGCAGAGCATTTTTCTGCCTGTTCGAACAAACTGACTTAAGAAACCAATCAAGCCACAGGACCTCAAGCTGACCAGAGACTCCAACAAGAGGCTGGTTACAGACAAAAGGGAGATACAGGATTCTTCCCACCCCTCCCAAAAAAATAAAAAAAAAAAAAAAATCAAAGAACTTTTTTTTTTCTTCTTCTTCTTTTCTTTTTCCTTTTTTTTTTGGTACCTTATATTTATAAAAAAATTTTTTTCCTTTTCTAAAAATTTTATTAATCTTTAATTTTTGCCTTTTTTGAAAAAATAATTGTTTTCCAGTAAC